AACCCAAAATAATAATAAAAGAGTTCTTTCCTTTTCAACTCTTTCTTATAATTTTAAAACGGTAGCACTTCCCTTTTATACAGTATAAAATTTTATTGTTAACGTTTCTTTTTACTGCTTGTTAATTTACGTATTTTTGTTGATGAATAATATTCTTTATTATCCGCTTCTCATAATATGCACCTATAAAGAATACATACAATATTAACCACTATTAAAATTATTTAAAGCTATAAATAAGAAAACCAAGAATATAAAAAGGAAAAAAATCATTCACTAAGGGATTAACACTGAAACCAAAATGTAATCAACACAGTAGAAATACATTTTAGATTGAACCGGCAAGGCAACCAAGAAGAAGACGAAAATGATAAAATCGTTTAAAGTTGAGAAATATTTTTTCCCATTTATTTTAAAACAGCGAGAAGTGAAACACCATACAAAATATTTTTGAAATTCAATTTAAAGTTATTGGACCACACACAAGATGGCACGCGTTCTCTTAAAAATACAATATATATGAAAACGGTTTTCGAATTAAAGTGGCGCAATATACTTAAGGAAAAAAAAGAAGTGATTTTTTTTTTAATTTTTGGTATTTAAAATAGATAATGACGGTCTCGATTTTTTTTTGTTTTGATTTTTTATTTTGATTGAAAAGTGAATGCTAATTTTGTTTTATATTTAGGGGAGAAACGTTGTTCGTGTGTATGTTTTGACTCTTGAAATTATTAATTACAGTGATAATTTATTAATTTTAATAAAATTGATTTCTTTTATCTCATTTTGAGTTCCGACAAAAAATTTTAATTTAACAAATTGTTTTAAAGTGATACGATTGAATTTTAATCTTAAACTTGGAAGTTATGATTCAGAATGCCGATTTTTGATTGCTGTATCAGGTAGGCAACAATAAAAATCTACTTCATTGTGATTGCTTACCGAATATGTTTGTAAGTTCATTTGTAGTACATGAAATGATTGTAATTAATATTTATTTGAAAACTGTTGTTTTTCATAGGTACATTAAGGCTAATCTATTTAATTAGTCAAATTTTGTTAAAAATTTTAAATGTTCAAAAATTGCCTGAAATTTTTCTTAAGTTCTTAATTACGTTCATTAAATGTTATTTGTTCTTTAATTTTTGAGTTTTGAGAAATCTATTAGATGAGACGAATTTGCATTGAGAGATTTGACAAAAATCGGCAACCCTTTCAATTTTTTCTTTATTAAAAATAAATGAATCTCTTAAATACGAAATGTTAAGAAAATCAAAATTGCATGAATGACATGAAATGACATGAGACTACACGAAGAACGAACATTCATCCGAAACTATTCAAAATTACACGAACAGCTGGATACTGCAAAATTTCACTTATTTAGTTAAAAAATTACAAATAAAAACTAATATTAATTAGGACATAGAGGCTAAAAAAATCAAATGTAAAATGAAGCAGGTGAATTCGTCCGAATGTTTTAAAACCTTCATTTAGCACTTCTGCATTGAGTAAATTTACAAGTAAACTACAATATTCAATTAAACATGAAAACACTTTTCAAATATTCTTTAACTATAATGAGTACTTTCAAATGTAGGAATTTTGAGTCAGAAAATTGTGTTAAAATTTTGCACTATTTTCGTGGAATACCCACGAAAATAGTGCAAAATTTCTTTTTCCGTACTATAAAAAATCTTGCAATCGAATATCATAATCGCTTCTATTTCTGACTTTACTTTGAAAATTATTAAGTTTTATGTGTACAAGAATCAATAGAGGTAAGTAATTCATATTCCATTTTTGAATGTTTTCTTGCTGGGTTTGAAAAGTTTCCTCTTCAATATTTGAGTTTTCAGTATATCCAAACCAGCATTTTTTGAACGAAACTTTTTTTATCATTGGTTTAATTATTTTCTTGCAAGTATTAGTATGTATACAAAAGAATTTCCTTTCCGTTATTACAGAAGAGGTTATGGTCTTTTTTTTGTTTTTTTTATTAATTCATTTAAATGAAATTTCCATGTTTTTTCGTTAATTATGTACACAATCCACAAAATGTTTCAATTAAAATTTCCTTTTAATTTAGTAAATGTTTGAACCATTTTCAATATTAGTGAATTTTCAAGTATCAGTCAAGAACGTATTTTTAGCTGGGACTCAAATCATCAAAAAAAAAAACTCTAATTTTCAAAAGGTTAAAAATTGAGTTAGAAAATTTCGCTATATCAGAAACATTTAAACTTTACTTAGTAAAAAAACAAAAAATAAAAATATTTGAGAATGAACGATTAAAAAAGTTTCATAAATAGTGGTGAAATTAACATTTGAGTTTATAAAATTAAAGCTGATGAAGTTTTACATCTCAGCTGAAGAATTATTATAGTTCTAAATTGTATTACTATGTCAATTTTCAAATTTGTACAATATTATTACCAAAAATCATTTTAATATTAAACTGACATGATTACTTGTATGAAACAATTTTCGATTTAGCGTCTCATAAATGCAATTATTTACACTTACTTACCTACATATAGAAATATTCTATGTCTGCTTTAGTATGTTTATGTATGTAGTAGTATTTGAGAAAACCCGGTTATATTCAGCAATGAAGATTATTTTTCTTTTAATTTCTTAACGCAAAGCTTTTGAATACGAAAACGATCAGGAAAATAACAAGGCATTAAAACTTGATTTTTCATTAATAATTAAAAAGGAAAATAGGAGAATGTAAGCGGAAATCCTTATAATTTTGAAGAGGAACATATTGTTAGGATACTGTTCTACAAGTTAAGAAAATTTTTTGAGGCATATTTTAAAAAAAAATTCTAAAATTAAATTTCTTCCATGATTTGTTTGAAATTTTCTTTAAGTTTTCAACAAAATGTGCAAGTATCTTTTCTTAATTATGTTTGTTCGACTTAGGTCCCAGCCCGATATTCAACTTTAAGTTTTGCAACAGTTTGATTGCTCATTTGTATTTCATAGGTTAATATTCAAGCGAGAACACATGCGACTGTATGATCACACGGAATCAGGCAATCAAACAATTTTTTTTGTAGTTAGTTTAATAGCTTAAATGTGTGTGTAACTCCCACAAAATTTCTTGATCAGTCTATAATAATTGATAATGATCATTTGGACCGCTAGTGCCTACATAAGGAAGCAAAGTGCAAATAAAAATTGGAGGAATGTGAAAAAAAGTTTAAAACCACTCCAAATACCTGCTTAAGATTTTGTAATTTTATTTTAAGGTGTTATTAAAAAAATCTTCTTAATTAACAAATTTATTTTGGAATGATCGCTTTTTGCTGCGTCGCTCAAGTTTTTACTTGCCTGAGTGTTAATCATAATTATACCCGTACGAACGTATGTTCGAAGGGTATACTAAATTTGCCTTACCGTTTGTAACGTTAAGAAATAACGGCGTTAGATATAGACTCAAGTGTATGTTTTTGACCAGCGTCAAATTCTGAGTTGATTTAGCTTTGTCTGTCCGTCCGTCCGTCCCAACGATAACTCAAAAACTAATTGAGCTAAGTTCACCAAATTTTCACAAATGATTTATTGTAGTAAGTGCCAGAACCCTATTTAAATTGGACGTGATCGGGGTACCGGTTTGGGTAGCTGCCATACAACTTCAAAATTTATTTGGCTATATCTCAGAAACTATAAAAGTTGTGGTATTGAAATTTCAAACAAACGAATATATTAGTAGGGCCAATGTGTCTCATAAAAGTCGTTGAAATTACTTGGCTCCTTCTGGTACCTGCCATACAACTTCAAAAGTTATTTGACTATATTTCAGAAACTATTAAAGCTATGGTATTGAAATTTCACACAAACGAATATATTAGTAGGGCCAATGTGTCTCATAAAAGTCGTTGAAATTACTTGGCTCCTTCTGGTACCTGCCATACAACTTCAAAAGTTATTTGGCTATATCTCAGAAACTATAAAAGCTGTGATAATGAGATTTCACTCAAGTGAATATATTAGTAGGGCCGATGTGCTTGATAAAATTCGCTAAAATTTCTTGGCTCTTTCTGGTAGCTGCCATACAACTTCAATAGTAGTTTGGCACAACCAGTATTTTGAAAAACACATAGTACTGAAATTTTGCATAAATTAATATGGTAATACGGCAACTTAAAGTCATAGTCTGCCCCATAGTTAGTTATGGCGCATTAGTTATTCGCACATAGGATAACAAATTCGTACGGGTATCACAGAGTTGACAAGGTCAACTCTATTTTTTTTCTCGTTTTAATGATGAAAAAACTTTAAATGATAAAAGGAGAATTTCTTTCTAGTATTTTCTAAACTTACCAAAATCTAAAGCTTTTAAATTTAAGCTTTCATTCCATCCAGCACAACTATAGCAACCAAAAAAATTTTATTTAAACTTTACATTGCATGAGTTTTGTTTTAACTGTTAAGCTTTTGTTTTAACTGTTGTTGGTTATTGCAATTATTGCTTTAGTTTTATTTTCGGTTCAACTTTTTTGTCTTAATGTTTTTAATATTCAATTTTATGCTACTGATTAAACTAAGTTAAGAGACTCAAATATTGGCTACACAAACTTCAATAAAAATAAACAAAAACAAAAAAATTTCTGAGCCAACATTAGAGTCGTCGCATGTACACGATTTTGTTTTTCTTTTTTCTCTTTTATTTTAGTATTTTTTTTCTTATTTTTGTTTTTTTTTTTATTTCTTGCTAATACTGTTATTGTTTTGATCTTATTTTTTATTTTTGTTTTTCTTCTTTTTCTGTATTTTAATTTCAGTTTTGCACACACAGTGAACGAATCCAGCAAATCAGCTAAGCCAAAAATCCATTACCACTTTACAAAATAAACTTTATGCATGTGTTTATGTAAGTATGTTTGTATGTTTGGACATTTTATTATATGTATGTAAAGAAATATTGTACAAGTTTATGTATAAAAATTTACTTTTGCTTTTAATAAGCTGAAAATGTTATAAATTCAACTGCAGGTAGGTCATGAGAGTTATTTTGCAAAAGAACATTCAATTGTTAGTTGAACAGTTAATAGGGAAATTTACAGGTAAAGGAAAACAGAAAGAAAAACTAAAAAATTATAATAAATTGGTAAAAATAACAAAGATGACGATATAATAAGGATTGGATTAATTTTTGGAAAAATATAAAATACCCACTCGTTTATCGTCTTTCATATTTTTAAATTCAAAAATAATATTGGATTATTTCAATAAAATTACAGAAAATTTTTTAATATTTTATTTTAGAAAAAATTATTCAGAATTATTTTCGTTAATTTTTTATTGAATTAACTAGGAAATAATTTTTGGAAAAAAGTGTTATATAAAATACAGCAGTAAATCAAACAAAAAAAATTGTTATACATAATTAAAAAAATATAACTGTGAAAGTAATTTTATGTATCTATATGTACAGAGTGTTTAAAAAATATTTGATAAATTAAAAAAAAAATAAAATCATTTTATAAAAATTTTAAATAAAAAAAAAATTTTTAATTCTTCTTTATATTTTCTTTATAGTTAAAGTGTGGAATTTAATTAGATTATTAAATTTTTGTATAATAATTAAAATTTAATAAAAATTAAGAGCAAAATCTTCAAAATATAATTTACCATTCAAATTTTTTTTGGATAAAAAATTTCAAATAAAATAATATTGGATTATATTAATAAATAACAAAAACAAAAATTAAAGCAATGGATAAAAAAATTAAGGTAAGCAATAAAACTCTTTAATTTCGTATAACAGTTTTGTATTAATTTAGTTTAACAGTTTATATAACAGTTTAGTATAACAGTTTAATTTAGTATAACAGTTTTTAGTACTTAAATTTGAGTAATTTTAGTCGGTAATTTAATATGAAAAGTGCACATGATTTTGAATAATTATTAATTATTTATATGAGAAATCATTGTAATTATTTTATTTAATAGCATAATTAATATTGGTAAACAAAATTTCAATGAGCCAAGGTTGCTGCGCAATTTTGTTCAGTCTATATAGAATAAAGTACTCGTTTTTTTCATATTATTTTATTATAATAATTTTTTATTATTAAAATTTAATTAAAATATTATTGGTATTTAAAGATTATTTTTTTATTTTGTGTTTTTTTTTCATATTGTATTTTCGTGAGAAAATTTAAGCCTTCAATTAAATCTTTTATTTTATGCAATATGCACGAATATTTCGGGTTTTTTTTTGTTTTTTTTTTATGGATTGATGGTAATTGAATGTAATTTGGTCAATTTTTTAATTTAAAAAAAGCAGTTAAAGAGTTTATTAAAGAGGGAAAGTAAACCGTCTTCACAATTAATTAAACAGATGAACTGTAATACTCTTAAATATTTGATCGTATTTTATTTATTGGAACATTTTATCAATTTCGAACTTATTTCATAGACTAGTTTTATTCAAATAGTGAAAATTCTAGTTAGTTAGTTGTAATTGATTGCACTTACCAATATTAATTGCTAAATATTTTGGTCATTAAAATCTTTACGCATATTAAATATTTGAATAGTTCAGTTGCCTTTATATAAGAGTGATAGTTTGGGTTTAAGTCTCTCAATCGGTTTTATAACTCAGCCATTTTCTAAGTAGCATGATTAGCTAAGTATATAGAATTAAAAAAAAATTAGTTTAAAATTTAAAAAAAAATTGGCTATATTTACTTTTAATTTATTTTAAATTATAGTTGGGTCCAACCAATGATTTGTATAGAGTATAGATAATATTAAATTTTTATAAAATAAGTAGGAATTTCAAATATTTTTTTGAATATAGAGGTTTTATTCATTAATATTTAAAGTAGACTGTAAGCTGATAATTTTGTCTTATATGCTTTAATTTTTTCTGTCGACACCCAAGTATACGGACAACTTCTTCATGTGGAACCAACAAAACTCTATTATTTTAGTTTTTTTTGTGCAATTTTTTTCAAAATATTTGCATATTTTCCGCTATATGAGAGTATCTTCATTGCATACATTCAAAATCAAAAAAAAATATTAGTTAAATTTTTGGTGTATTATTTTTCAAGGTAGTTAAAATCAATAATAGTGGTAAAAATAACTTATTCGATAGTTATCCACACCTTTTTCATTTAATTTTGTTGTTGTTTTTAATAAAATAGAGTGGAATCACCTGCTATAATTTAGAATTCTGAAGATTAACTTATAGGTTAAAGTTAAAGCTCCAATACCAATATACTTATAGCTATAATGTAATAATAAGTAGTTTGTTTTTAAACCAAATAGAAAAACAAATCAGTTGTTTCTTTTTGGTAAAAAAGTTTTTTCAATTTATTGCAAATGTTTTTTTTGTTTCTAACATTTACAAAACATACAAGAAAATTCTAAATGAATTTGATTTGTTAGGGAATTGCGATATGTGAATGTGCACAGAATTCAAGTTATTCTTGATTTTAATTATTCTTTATGTTTTTTTAGGGTATTACAAAACAAAAAGCTTCTAACTACATTTTAAAATGAAATTAATGTCAAGGATTTTAAAAGTTTTAAATATTTTATTTTTTTTCTCTTTTAAGTAAATTAATTGAAAAAAATCATTATTTGTAAAATTATACCATAAATGCTTTGAATTTTGTGTTAGAAAATTTGATTTTCTAAAATATTTTCGAAAAATATTTGAAATACCTTGTACCTACATCAATTTCGGCTTTACGTAATAATTTACAACTCGTTCGCAAGTGTGTCTGCAAGTAGCGGTTTGAATGCAAGAAAGACAAATTTTTTTTAATTATAACAGTTCCTAAAATGTATTGCAATTGATCCTCCATCAATTTAGATGACAATTTTTTTATATTTGGTCTCTTAATTTTTTCACTTCGAAATTTCACTTATTGCCCGCCCGTAAAACAAAATTTAATTTTGAAGACAATTGCACATGCTTTAATGCTTTCAAATTATAATTTTGAACTTTTGGATCTACTCATTATTATTATTTAGTAAAATTTCAATGAAACCATGACATTTTCATATTAACTTAATTGAATTTAATTAATTTTAATTAATTATTTGTGAAAAATTATGAAAAATTTTTTTAACTAGAAAACAATTTAAAAACGAGAGAATTGTGGGTTGCATTAAAAAATGCAATTAAAATTGATGAATTTTATCAACGCGAACTAAAATTTCAAAACCATTAAAGCATATACGATTCTTATATTTTAATATAAAATTTTAATTAATTACTATAGTAACGTGACTTAAAGAAACAAAACAATAACTAGGGTAAAATAATTAGTCATTAAAAATTATATAAAGTGTGAATGGCATTCCAAATGCATTTTTAAAGTTTTTTAACATTTTAACCATTTGAGTTCAAGTTTACTTTTACTTATATTGAATAATAATATAATAATAGATTCAGTATCACATATATGGAGGAAAAATGTAATATGAATATAAAGTGTGTATGACAAGTATTGCCAGTTTTTCCACTTTTTCTTTTATTATTTAATAAATACAAAAATTATTTACAATTTTAGAGATTATTTGAACTCAAGATTAAAATCTTTTTTATCTGTTTAATTTGTAAAAGACAAATGGTAAAAATAGGCAGATTAAGATAACGGTAATATTTTTGAGTGAGTGACGCGTAATGTTGCAATGTAAAATGTTATTAATTTATAAGCTAAGAGCGACTTATATTAAAATTTTTTTAATAATTTTTGTTCGAAATAAGGAAAACGTCATGTTCAGGCCGAAGATTCTTTGTTAAATTGGTAATAATGGAGTCTAATAAAAAATCGGGATTTGCATTATAAAATCTATCAACCAAAATAACACCTTAAATCGACATTTATTTTGCCCAATAAATGGCCTATCAATATTTTTATTCCAACCTAAGCTTACCTTATTTCCCCTGCATTTCTTTAAATATGGTTATCTGATCGAATTACTGGCTGATCTATTCGCTTTCAATACTAATTCCAGTAAAATGTGAATTTCATGAAATATCGAATTTAATTTTCAATTCTTGACCTGATCCAATTTCTATATTAAAATTATTCAGACCACTCTGTTTTTCTCTCAATCCTTTTAATAGCCGAATATTAATCTCATAAAATTTTATGATTTTCAAATGCAAATTTTTGAATATTTGGTCACTCTATTAAATCATTTGTTTATTTTTTATGTAATAAAATAATTTTATTTTCTACATATATATATTTATGTATGTGCATGTGTTGCATACATATGTATATCTGTATAAGTATGTTACATATATTTAATATGTCTTATAATAATATTATGAATTTTATAACCCCAGTATTAAATTTCAAATTAAAATAAAAAATATTTAGCAGAGTTATACTTGTTTAGCATATACACTTAATATAAATATTATTGTATAATTATAACTGTTTTCCATAATAACTATTATAGTATAACTGCTCTATAACTACTATATTTGGTAGTTAGTAAGATACGTGCATAATTATTACAAAAGAAAATTTTTTGATTTAAAATTTTCATTTTCATCGTTTTTCTTTCAGAAAATTTTTTTGTTGTTATTTTAGATTCGGATCATATATTACATTATACTTGTACATACATACATGTATGTATGAGTAATGGTTTTGATGCTTTCAACTACTGTGTTTATTATAAGTATATAACGTAATTAACTACCATAATATTATTTGCTTATTATTTTGATTTTTTTTTCTTTAAGAGAAGCATAAAATGTCGACGATATGCGAGTGTGAATTTCTATTTAAGATTGTAAGCTTAATATGTTAATGTACAAGTATACAACTCTTTCAGGGTTGCCTATTTTTGGAAATTATAAAAGAAAAGTGTTTACACAATAAAAAGTAGTTTTCAAAAAATATGGGAAATAAATTAAATTTGATTTTACGGCACAAGTTTGTCTAAAATTTTTAATATTTTCGAATCAGTTCTTAAAATTTTAGTGAACCATATTTTTAATTCAGAAGAAACCCCGACTTTAAAATTCGCGATAAATGATGGATAATAAAAATATTTACTGCATTTTAGAGTGTGGTACCTTATGTTTAAAATTATTTTAGCATTTGAGACAGAAATTTGAAATAATTTCTATTATCAAATTGTACCGCGTACAATTTTAACCTTTTAAGTGCTTATGTATACTATAGTGGACTGTATTTTGAGTTAAATCAATTTGAAAACCATTTGCATATTTTTGCAAATTTCCTTCAGACGTGGATTTTTTGCTAGTATCTCACTTCTGTTTTGCAGATTAGTCTTGGAAGTATTCCTAAAAGGATTTTGTTTTTGTTTTTTACAACATTTTATCAAATATTTTATTGCTTATTACATAAGAATGGGAAACTACAGTGGTTGGTTATTTTGATTCTATTTTTTTTTAAATTTAAAAATTTTCTTTTACGACTTGTAAATCATCACATTGTTCAACCCAGTATTTAATTGAATATGACTGTTAATATTCAGGACGAAAAATTAGAGAGTTTTGTAATTTAAGCTTATTTAATGGCCTATGCTATCTTAGAATTCATGAAATATGAAAACGAATGGTAACCCTACTACATGATAAGTATTTCAAAACATGAAAATCGAGATTTTCATATTATTATTAAAATTATTTCGAAAACAATTCTCAATAAATTGTAAAATACACCCGAAATGTACAAATTGTGGTTAACAACTCTTTTAAATATTTTGTCTCTTTTTCACATCATCGT